GCAAAGCATTTTCAAGTTGCATTGTTCCTTCACTAACTTGAATTTAAAGAGTAAATAGACAACCTGAACTTGACTGACAATTAGTTTCAACCAACAAAGGTCACCGAAATTTTCACCAACGTAAATGTCAACTCAAATCAAAATGTAAACCTGCTCTTTGAACATCCTGTTTAATTGGAACTAAGTAAATGTTACGACGCCTACAGAACGAAAGAATCATTCAAATCAATTTTGACAACTTTGAAACTTGACAATTAACGAACAAAACAAACCTTTCGCCTACACTAACAGAAATCTTGCTCATGAATAGCGAACAATTTCAAAATCTTTTGCAATCCATCGAGAACTCAGATCTACTTTCTGCAATCCCATACAATATTGACCTAATCGGTTTTGGCGAATTCAACGTGAATCACATATGCGGAGAGGTGTACTCTGTTTTTTTTAGTGAAGATCCAAAAGTTCTGATCATAATCGCATATTTGTTGGGAAGTGATATTCGCATGATAGTAACCTGCCGTTTCGATACATCAGCAGAACTCGCGGACACGATCTCCGAACTCCGATCAAACGCCTATTTCAAACTTGACGACCTCAACTTCTCGGTCTTTTTTGAAACACCATCAACTGCAGCATAGACAAGTCATGAATTTCTCCGCTGCCGTGACATCTACACTAAACCGAAAAACAAAATACTCAACCGTCAAATTGATGAAACAAGCCATAATCATTTTAGGATTCCTCTATCTCATAAAGATCTCTCAGGCAAGTGAATACGAAGATGCACTCAAAACGGGAATTCTTTTCCATAAAGATAGCCAAATCCTGCTCGCCGAAAAATTTATCAACGCAGAATTTCTCGTCCCATTTCCTAAGTATAGTTTCACCATCCAAGACAACGTGACACAACTTCTCTCAGTATTGTCTACTAAATGGAAATCAAAGTCATCAGACTGTAGCCTTAACTTCGCAAAACAATTCAACGCCAGCGTGGAATCCTTCAATGTTGATTGGATACTCCGCAAATTACAGAGTGAAGTTCAATTGGCACAAGACGAGGTCTCCAGTATCAAAGTTGAAACATCTCACTTTCTCTTTAACGAAGCTGAAGAGAATAGATCAAGGAGAAGGCGAGGGGCACCACTGGCACTAGCCACTCTTGCCGGAGTTGGACTCTTTGGACCAGGAATCCTGATGAACGATTCCTCAAGTTGTGGTCTACTAGGAATTTTCGGCACCTGCCAAGATAAGAGTCGAGAAAACGCGAAGAACATCAAGGAACTTCATGAATACACGATCAGGTTGACAGAATATGTTGCTGAATACGAAGAACAGGTTAACGAAAAGTTCTTTTTAGTTGCTGACAAACTTTCCGAAGTTAACAATATTCAGAAAGAGATGATCAAGAACCAACAAGAGAATTGGAAAGTGATCGAGGACCAGTTCACAGTAATCAAGAACAATTTTGAGATCCTTAGGGACTGTGATCAATATCTATTCTCAAACCAGCAACTGAACTTTAACTTCGATACAGCGGCTTCTCTTCTGTCGCTTCTTTACTCAGATGTCAAGAGTTATAGAGCAGCGCTGTACGCTTTCAAAACAAACATAATGAATGCCATTCCTACATTGTTGGACAAGCGACTCACGATGTCGTTAGTACCTAGAAATTCACTGATCGCGATTCTCAATTCAGTATATGAAAGCCAGAAAGACGCAGCAGACAGACTAACACTAGCCATTCCGACAACCGACTTGCATTCCTACTACGATGCAAAACTTCTTCGAGACGTCGTGACGGTCGATGAAGGCCTACTAATGACTCTGGCGATACCGATGTCATCAAGTCTGACAGTCTTCTCTGTATATCGAGCACATTTGATCCCGATGCCACAACCGGAGCAGAAGGATGCGATAAAGTGGAAAACTGAAGGAGACTACTTCGCGATTTCGGAGAACGGAATGGAGACATCCGTGCTCACGCGAGAGCAGTACGAAATGTGTCTCGGTTCATCTACCTACAGGATTTGCCATCAGACGATGGAAACTCAATTGGGCAGATCATCGTGTCTCGCAAACCTCTTCTGGCCAAATCCAGTAGCAACTCTGACCGTCTGTGAAACGGAAAAGGTCATACTACCTACTCCAGAAAAGGCCACGAATTTAGGATACGGTATTTGGCTCATTACATCAGCCTCTTCATCTTTTTCTTTGTGGGAGTACAACCTGAATGAGGTTCACACTCCATCTCGCAAGGAACATCCAGGATGCAACATATGCATCATTACACTAGATTGCAGGACGCAATTAGCTTCACGGAACATTAAGATTCGACCCGACCTTGGAAGTTGCGACAAGATTCCGGCAAGACGAATCGACGTCAAACTGTCCGACCCATTGAAGCACCTCATGTCGGAAATTCCGGGGATAGATGAACTACCATATTTCAAATCAAGAACAGACGCGGGGATTAGACTTTTGGAAGAAGTAAAGGCGAAACTTGTAGACAGCCCGATCGTGACAAACATGGAACAGTTGGATGAAATATCGAAACCAATCGCGCACGGAATGAAACTTCTAAAACCATCGCTTACTGAAAAACTCGAAAGCTATGTCCCAATAAAACTTTCACTGACCTTAACCGTAATTGTCTTCATTGGAAGCACGTTGCTTCAATGCCTGTGCACTTACCTCTTCCATAGATTTAAAGCGGTCAGGGATATAACACCACGATTCCTGAAAACAGCGCATGGTGACATCCGAATAAAGCCCGTAGTAGCAATGGACATCGATGAAAGCGAGAGAGACGAGAAGACAACCAGACTCATGGAATCGAGAGAGGAATGGCAGAATAAATATACTGTACTGGACGTGATTGATGAAACTGTTTCGGTGCCACAACAACGTAGACAAATTGATGATGGAATGTTAAATGACGAGGCGAGATCAATGAGAGGCAGCAAAATGGACATGGCAAGATCAAGATCATTCAGCGAAATACCAGGAGATCAAAGGACAACGTCCAGACACATTAACGGAGAGTTTAAACTGACTCCTAATTCAGGAATTCTAGGCATGAAACCACCATCAGTTGAAATTGGAGCCCAGTATACCGAGCAGACGGCCTAACCGTTAGGGAAAACTGAGACAAGAGCAAGTTTCCATTACAATTTTCATTAACTGAAACCTGAGTAAAATCACTCAATTGATCAAATCATAAATGACTGACCCTAATGACTCTCATGGTGGCTTAATGAAGAATCAAACTCATAATGGCTGAAATCTTTAACATATTTGCGCAGAACCTAAGTTCTGATACTTTTTTCATTTAATTACAACTTATAAAGTGTTATAATCTGTTAATTTCAATGAGTGTATACTCGCTTTATATTGATTAATAAATAAAATGTATTTGTTCCCAAGTTAAATCCTTACAGTTTAACTCCACGTATTTTGATTATTTTAAAATTAGCGTTGAAATTGATTTAAATTTAGTGAAATTGAATTGTACCGTATAACTGTTGCTAAATTTATTGCAAAGTAAATTATTGAATTAAAAGCGATTTGATGCACATTTAAATTACTATGATTTAGAGTTTTGACGTAGCAGTTTTCTTTTGAAATGCAGCTAAACGAAGTAGACTAAAGTTTCGCTTAAAATTTTACCCATTTTATTCATTTGAAATTCTTACCTCAGTGCTAATTCCAATCAATGCGTAAAATTTATGTAAAAACAGGTTATGTGACACCTCTAAAGTGATGTCATTGATAGCCATGAAATTATTGCCATATTAGAAAATGTATAATGTTAAAATCTCAAGCATGCAGTTGAATAACTTATTATTGACACAATGTAAATAGTGTGTTCAGAATTGAGAAGCATGCGATAGTTAGTCTAATAAACAGTCAGAAAGAGAAATTGAATAAAACTAACCAAAAGCTAAATTGTTAGTGAGCTGAAGATTAGGGAGAGATTCATGCTGTCGGGGCCCAAGCGTCCGTGATAAGATACTGCAACAATAACATCTAGAAAGAACATGCAAATAGAGACCAACAAGCAGTATGTCATAAGAAGTAAGCGAGCCCACCTTTCCAAAATTGCAACAAAGAGCATTTTGCACCCCATCTTCGACAATGTTGCCAAAAAAGGACAACAAACAGATAAGTATGGTTTTGGCTCGATCCATCAAATATTACCAAATTTGTTAACAAGTGCATTTACAACACCAAATACATCAAATAAAACAATAACTAACGGATAAATATCTTACTCCTGACAGGCGGAGGACGTTGAAGAATAGGCTGAGAATAAACAATAGTTCAATTTTCAAATCAAGGGTCAAGTTTATCTGAAAAGAAGCAATTATAACGATAATATTTTGCAAAAAAAAACGACAAAAAAACATCGAGAAGGGAAAATCTAAAAGTTTTTTTTCTAAACCTGATTTCAAAATTACTTTTTATGAGTAAAATCATAACTTCGATGTTTTTAGTAGTACGACCTATTGATATTTGCATAATTATGGATCAAATGGCCATCGAAAGCTATATTTTTGGAATGATGGGTCAAATGCCAAAAAAACAAACAAACTGATGAATATGGTACCGCTAGAAAGCTAGGACCACGATCAATCTAACGGTTTTAATTTAGCTTCAATACATCAAGTTTTATAAAAATTATTGGCAAACGAGCGCACCTTGTCAACAATGCCAAAAACTGAGCATTTTGCACCCACTTTCAAAAATTTTGCTAAAAAAACAGACGGATAAATATGGTACCGATAGAAAAGTAGGACCACGATCGATATAACGGTACTAGTCTAGACTCAATACATCTAGTATTAAAAAGTTAGGAGCCAACGAGCCCACCTTGTCAAAATGGACAAAAAATGAGCATTTTCACCCACTTTCAAAAAAGTTTGCCAAAAACGAAAACAAGCGGATGAATATGGTTCTGCCAGCAAGCTAGGGTCACGATCAATCTAACGGCACCATACTAGACTCAATACATCAAATATTATTCCCATTCTTTCCATAATTTATTCTAGTTTATCAATAACGAATTTTTACTCGCTGGTGTTTGTTGAGTTACTTACATCGATACACAATGAATTCATCATTGCTAGCTTTTACAAACATCATTGTTAGCTTTTACAATCTTCATTGTTAGCTTTTACAATTATCATTGTTAGCTTTTGCAATCATCATTGTTAGCTTTTACAATCATCATTGTTAGCTTTTACAATCGTCATTTCATTTTTTGTGATATATTAATAATTGAAATAGTGTAAATTAAATGTTAAAAAGGCTATAGATTGCAACATACCATGTCCAGACTGCAGGTTTTACGACACTGACTAGAAATTCCAGACCTCGACCTGGAAACCTTAAACCCACGAGGGAAACGCGTATGTGAAATATATTTCCCCAACATTACCATTTTTTTTACTAATTCTTTCAGCTCATATGGCAACTCTTTATCATCTAAATTTATTTGTATGCGTTTTCCTCGTAGGTTAAAAGTATCCAGGTCGAGGTCTGGAATTTCTGGTCTGTGTCGTAAAGCCTGCATTCTGAACATGGTTTGTTGCAATCTATAACCTCTGCGAATATTTATACATAGTTCATGTATATATTCAGGGGCGATCTAAGGTTTTCGCGAGGGATCGTGCGGACTTGCAAATTATTTTCGATCTTAATTTCTGGTCTAGCAAATAGGTCTTCCTGGCTCTCAACTTTTTGCATAAGTTTTTTTTGAAAACTGGTCAAAATTTCCATTTTGGGCCCTTTTGAACATCGGGTTTTTTTCACCGCGCGGTCCCCTCAACAGTAATTGATAAAGGAGAAAGTCGGAATAAAATAGTATTAAAGGGGTGAAGTTAACCTTGGTGGTTAGGGGCTCGAATCCCTGAGGGGAGCGCCCCTGCACTTATTGGTTATTTCAGAAAATGGTTTGTTGGGACAACATGAATTGTACATTAGTACAATTGCTCTCACGGAATCCAGTCAAAGGTAAAGCAAGTTTAAGATAGATTGTTTTAATTTGTCGATGCATTTTTGTTTAAAAATTGTTATTGTTTATATGCTGAAATTTAATTATGGCACCTCTGTTTTCAAGCTTGTGCGAGCTCCAACTCAAGCTATTCCTACAATTGCAATGCGATTAGCCCATTAAAATGCATTGTGGTCTTCGAGCTACCTAGAATCATTAAACTTGCGACAACTTGAGTATGACCTCTAGTGGATTGTTTCAGTTTTGATGGCGCAAAATAAACCTATAGGATCCATTGTAGTATCATACGAAAGCCCATACAGAATTAATTCAGATTCTGTAAATACATTTGAAAAATTCTCGGTGTTTGCAAAATTTCAGCCGTCCACTTTCTCTATGATATTTCAATCGTTCACTACCTCTATTCGAGAAAGCTGGGTTCATGTGGGAAAATGAAAAAGGAGCGCCATGCAGTTGTTTCCAATGTATGGTAGAAAAATCTAATACTTCAGATATTATGACATTTTGAATTTCTATCAAGTTGACTCTGCAGATGTCTGCAGAACCCGAAAAGAAAGCGAAGATAAACCACGACCACTTCCGAGACCATTTTCGCCAGTGTAAACAACTCAATGTATCAGACATAGATATCGAGCATTTCAACAAACAATCACTTGAGAGCTACCAGCCAAAATTACAGCACATATCTCAAAATCATTGCGCGAAAAAGTGTCTTTCTTTTGGTTTAAACCCAGCGAAGACGTGGAAAGTCACAACACTCGCTGGAGTTGCTGGATTTTATTTGATTCAAAACTCCTTTCACAATTTCTCAAAGTGGTTTTGGATCTTGAGATCTCTGGTCGACTTTACTAAGTTCCCGATCAAATCTAATCTCACTGCTGAAGCAGCATTGGGTTCACATCGGTTTCCATGGCAGCATTACGACCCTAATTTTTCGAAAACAAAATCATCAAACGAGAAGAAACAACCGATTGAGAGATTAAGATGGACGACTTTGGGGTACCAGTATAACTGGGAGACCAAGAAGTACTATGCTGGACACTACATTGACTTTCCCGATGATCTGGCCTCGCTCTGTCGCTTTTTTGTCCAGTCAGTGGGTTTGGATGAAGATAAACAGTATAACCCTGAGACTGCAATTGTGAATTTTTATCCAGAGGGCTCGACACTAGGTTAAGTTTGAAATCGCTAGCTACGAATAGTTTATTACTGCCGTAATTTAAGTTAAATACAGCAGCTGGAAGTTTCAAACATGTTTCTTCCAAATTTAGCCTTCAAGTAATGGCAAAAAGTTAAGACTTGAAGTGATGGCAAAAAAAGTAACTCTGAACTTAGCCAGAATTTTTATTTACCAGAGTTACTTGGGATAATTGTTTTTCATAAGTTTGATTACAAATTTCAAAAACAGTCGTAAAGATTTATTTCAAAAACCGTCGGAAAATTAAAATCAGCATTGTACACCAGCGGCGCTAGCTATAAACTATTCTATTTCGATTTGATGTTTTATGGTCAAAATAGGCTATTTAACTGTAAAACTGACCGTTTTTAACTGTCAAGGAACGAAGTGAAGAAGACACTTATTTATTCAGTGTTTTCTTTCGTTTTTGCAGGAAAAATTTCCTAAGAGTTGTACACTCTCAAATGTCTTTCTGCGGTTTGTTATTACCCTTGCGATAAGCAAGAGTATTGCAATCAGATACTAGTCTGTTTTTTTCCTTTAAATTACTTTGCTCACAGAATGGTCAAAATTCGAAATGGTTAATTTAGGTTCAGTTCATAATGAATTCAAATTTTTTTGCGTCCCCGGCACCCTTGGTTTGGAGGCAACGAATGCGCCTGGGACGGCAAATGTCCTTGGTTCGAATCTGACTGTTTTTTTCAAACGGGAGATATTCCGTTTCAAAAAATGTTGGCTTTTATATTTGTCTGCTTATGTTTTGTCGGCTTAGTTGCCACATCGTTCAAGTGTTTTGGTTTTTGCTGTAGGCAATTCAAATTGCATTGTTTTTAATGTTTTGATTTACTTCTGCAGTTTGTAATTTCTTGATTTCGTATATATATATTTTTTTTTGATAAAAACTTTATTCTGTCCACTTGGTTGCGGTTTTATCGGCTTAGTGACCTAATTTTGAGTAGTTTTAAAGGAGACAATTGTTATGCTCACTTGATTGCAGAAATTACTGAAATCTTTACAGAAATAATATTTTTTTTGGCTTAATAGGTTTTGCCCTATATTAAATAGGTTTAATGTTCTCATTTTGTGTTTTTCGACGAGCGAGAAAAAATTGTTATGCGTGTTTTGAGGGGAAGGAGGACTTTATGATTTTTATAGTGATTTTTGATGTTTTTTTTCAGCTCCAGTTTTCCTTTTTCGAGTAAATAGGTTTTGCCTTATATTATATTGGCTTAGTGGCCTCATATTGTTTCATTTGAGGAGCCAGTAAACTATCGTGTGTTTTTAGGGTCTTAAGTCTTGTTGATTTTTTTTCGGCTGAAAGTGTTTCAGCTAAGGTATTTTAGTATTTCCCGCTTTGTTAAATTTTCTTCCGATGCGAGTTTCACATTCTATTGTCCTGGCATGTGTTTGTTTGAAATCTAGCCAGATTCATTTTGAAAGATCTAGTTTTTTTTGTTATTCTTAGTTTTTCCTCCGACTTAGCGGTTTTTTGATTTTGTATCGCAAGTGGTGAGACTGCTAGTTTCGAAAGTAGAATTTAATTTCAGATCTCCCGGTGAAATAAGAATTTCACCTATTGATCCAGTTTTCTCAAATTAGGTCGATTCTGTCGAAGAAGTACCAATCATTAATTGTTCTAGAAATTCAAAGAGCATCAAGGGCATTTTTTTGAAATTTGAAAGTTGAGATTTTTTAAGAAACGTTGGTGTTTTTTTGTTTAATTCATTGACTCTTTTTTTCAAGTGTCTGTTGGCTTGGTTTCTTACGTTTCATTCAAATTCGTTTTCTAAACGGGAGGCAAGTTATACTCTCCAATGCCCCAGATGGCGCGAAAAAGTATAATCGACTATGATTTTCAAAAGTAGATTTATTCCAGGTTTCTAGTAGAATTTCAACGTTATCTACTATTCCAGTTTTTCAACCAAAGTTAGTTTCATCAAAAAGTTTTTATATGGCAAAAAAGTCCAATTAGGACATTGTCTTAAAGTAAAGCCAACAGACATTGAAAAACCGAAAAACTGTTTGTCTTCAACAGACCGAAAAACTGTTTGTCTTCAATTTTTTTTATTAATAAATTTTTTTCTTGCTCTCGAGTTTATTGAGTTTGTTGGCCCTGTTTTTAGGCGATTTATCTCCATTGAATTTTTAGGCCAAATAATGGTTGTTTTTCATATAACAGGTGCAAACATTGGCCCGGTAATTGTTACGTTTTCATAAATCAAGTAGATTGATCCTAGAACTATCAGTTTTTAGCGTGAAAGTTTGGGTCGGCAAACCAATTACCTCATGTTTATGTTTCTTTTGTTTAATTGCAATCATTGACTCTTTTTTCAAGTGTCTGTTGGCTTTGTTTGTTACGTTTCATTCAAATTCGTTTTCTAAACGGGAGGCAAATTATACTCTCCAATGCCCCAGATGGCGCGAAAAAGTATAATCGACTATGATTTTCAAAAGTAGATTTATTCCAGGTTTCTAGTAGAATTTCAACGTTATCTACTATTCCAGTTTTTCAACCAAAGTTAGTTTCATCAAAAATGTGACAGTCATAAAATTCATAAATTCAAAGAGTTCTGAAGTGATGTTTTTTTCAAAATTCATATCGTCGATCTTTTTATATGGCAAAAAAGTCCAATTAGGACATTGTCTTAAAGTAAAGCCAACAGACATTGAAAAACCGAAAAACTGTTTGTCTTCAACAGACCGAAAAACTGTTTGTCTTCAATTTTTTTATTAATAAATTTTTTTCTTGCTCTCGAGTTTATTGAGTTTGTTGGCCCTGTTTTTAGGCGATTTATCTCCATTGAATTTTTAGGCCAAATAATGGTTGTTTTTCATATAACAGGTGCAAACATTGGCCCGGTAGTTGTTACGTTTTCATAAATCACGTTGATTGATCCTAGAACTATCAGTTTTTAGCGTGAAAGTTTGGGTCGGCAAACCAATTACCTCATGTTTATGTTTCTTTTGTTTAATTGCAATCATTGACTCTTTTTTCAAGTGTCTGTTGGCTTTGTTTGTTACGTTTCATTCAAATTCGTTTTCTAAACGGGAGGCAAATTATACTCTCCAATGCCCCAGATGGAGCGAAAAAGTATAATCGACTATGATTTTCAAAAGTAGATTTATTCCAGGTTTCTAGTAGAATTTCAACGTTATCTACTATTCCAGTTTTTCAACCAAAGTTAGTTTCATCAAAAATGTGACAGTCATAAAATTCATAAATTCAAAGAGTTCTGAAGTGATGTTTTTTTCAAAATTCATATCGTCGATCTTTTTATATGGCAAAAAAGTCCAATTAGGACATTGTCTTAAAGTAAAGCCAACAGACATTGAAAAACCGAAAAACTGTTTGTCTTCAACAGACCGAAAAACTGTTTGTCTTCAATTTTTTTATTAATAAATTTTTTTCTTGCTCTCGAGTTTATTGAGTTTGTTGGCCCTGTTTTTAGGCGATTTATCTCCATTGAATTTTTAGGCCAAATAATGGTTGTTTTTCATATAACAGGTGCAAACATTGGCCCGGTAGTTGTTACGTTTTCATAAATCAAGTTGATTGATCCTAGAACTATCAGTTTTTAGCGTGAAAGTTTGGGTCGACAAACCAATTACCTCATGTTTATGTTTCTTTTGTTTAATTGCAATCATTGACTCTTTTTTCAAGTGTCTGTTGGCTTTGTTTGTTACGTTTCATTCAAATTCGTTTTCTAAAAGGGAGGCAAATTATACTCTCCAATGCTCCAGATGGCGCGAAAAAGAATAATCGACTATGATTTTCAAAAGTAGATTTATTTCGGGTTTCTAGTAGAATTTCAAAGTTATCTGCTATTCCAGCTTTTCAACTAAAGTTAGTTTCATCAAAAATGTAACAGTCATAAGATTCATAAATTTCAAAGAGTTCTGAAGTGATGTTTTTTTAAATTCATGTCGTCGATCTTTTTATTTGGCAAAAAAGTCCAATTAGGACATTGTCTAAAAGTAAAGCCAACAGACATTGAACTCAGGAGACCGCAAAAACGGTTTGTCTTCAATTTTTTGATTAATTATTTTTTTCTTGCTCTCGAGTTTGTTGGCTCTGTTTTTAGGCGATTTATCTCCATTGAATTTTTAAGCCAACTAATGGTTGTTTTTCATATAACAGGTTCAAACATTGGCTCGGTAGTTTTTACGTTTTCATAAATTAAGTTGACCGATTCTAGAACTATCAGTTTGTAGCGTGAAAGTAATTGACGTTTATCGAAATGCATTGAAAGTAAAAAATGGCACTCACATCATATCAGAAACTGTTGTAGCCAAATTGTTGTGAGAGCATTGTTTAAGGTGAAACAGCTGTCATCACGATGGAATCAAACAGTTAGGTAGAATGTTGATGAAAGAGTTTGATTTTACAATTTCAAACAACCAACAGTTTTTCGAAAACAAGTCTTGTTAATGGAGAAGACAAATATCGATACAAAAATGGGAGGACATAGCATGATGCTAACTGTTTTGATCCTGCTAGTGATCAGAGCGTAAATACGAAAGCTTGGTTCACCTTAAACATATATTGAAAAAAAGGTCGAACTCTTAATAACACAATGAGTTTTAACATAGTTGGTTCAAAAGCCACGGTATATAGAGAGGCAATAGCGTGGCAAGAAAAACAGTCAAAAGATCAGATTTATGTTAAAAATGTGATCAGATTTATGTTAAAATCTCAAAGATTAATTTGTTCAACAAAGGGTTAATCTAATAATAATAAGTGATAGCCCTCCAAACGTTTGAATAGAAAGCTCTAGCTAAAACCATTTTGACATAAACTACAAGATATTTAGAAAAAAAGACGTAGTATCAATGTAAACAGTTATTTAGCTGCATATTTTCTTAATAGAAAACGCAAAAAACTTGGACAATCAAAGTATAACCCCGAATTTGTATCAAATTTTGAGCTTATATCCATAACTTGTCTCAGCTTGAGTTCCAGTTTTTCCGCTTGAGTTTGCTTCAATTTCATTAACTGCTTCAATTTCCTTAAGAGTCGCAAATAAGTTTTCAACTGCTCTATTCGATAGTCACTCTGTTTTGTCGTACATATTCACCCATAAACATCAGCTTTCCACCTGTTTTTAGGTTCGCTTTAATGAATATATTCAAAATCTGTGTTTGACAATAATGTTAATAAGACATACTAAACGATTTCTAGAAGCCTTGAAAATTATTCCTTTTTTTAATGAAAAATGTTATATTCAAATTTAAGAAATGGCTGTAGCAAAATTAATGGGCTTTTTTGGCTTTCATCCGCGTTTTTGCTTTCCGAGATCTTTAGAAACTTCAATTTTTTTAGCTCTTTCAAAGTTTTATATAATATCAAAGCTTTTGTCATATATTTTTGACGTTGTTCCAGTCTCCTGTCGACACAGAAAATGGAAATGTCAAAATTTTTAAGCAAGTTTCATTATTTTAGAGTTTTCAATGTTTCATAGTTTTTCCTTGTTTTTAACTTCTGTTTGGCTTAAAGTATTTTTTGATTCTTATTTCGTTCAAATTGATTATTATTTTTTCTTAAATAGGGGTGGCGGCGGCCGCACTTGACGAATTTTCCTTTCTTTGCGATTCAGCAATAAAATATGCTTTTTTGAAGGAAATCGTTCACCGCCGCCAACAGTTAAGCTGCGCTGCCAAAATCTTGTGCGTTCCTATATACCACAATTTGGGAGATGGTACACTTCTAAAACTAAGTTGGACTACATAGGAGGTTCACTTTAATATAGTGTGCTTAAAAATCGTTTCCGTAGTTGCATTAGGTTCATTTTGGTTGCATTAGGTTCAATTGGATTTGGTACACTTCTACATTTGGGAGATGGTACACTTCTAAAACTAAGTTGGACTACATAGGAGGTTCACTTTAATATAGTGTGCTTAAAAATCGTTTCCGTAGTTGCATTAGGTTCATTTTGGTTGCATTAGGTTCAATTGGTTGCATAACGTCATTTTACATGTAAACAATGCAATACCCCCAAAATTAGAAGGGACCACATGCACCAACCAAAACCTAATTCCATACTCTTTTCCATCGAGCGCCCAAAAAATGACCAATTTTAACCTCCCTTAAAACATGTGTGACCGAAAACTATCTTATTAAAAACCGTCGTTTCGCGGCATGATTACAAAACTTTAACTCTCGAGTAAACGTGTTTGATCATGTCTGAACATGTTCTTTTCCGCGCGCCGAGAAGAGATTTTTCCGAAAGTATCAAAATGTGGGAAGACTTATATGCCTGCAGGTTTACTTATTTAACTACTCTGGAAAGCTAGAACGAGTTTCTCTTTAAATTGTTTCCGCATAAGACGTGAGGAGAGGAAAATTGCTTCCAATTTTAATGGAAGTAGTATGATACTAGGGGGTAATTTTTGGCTCAATTTAGTCGATCAAAACCTAGGCAAATCATATCAAAATGAGTCTCTTAGTAGCATCCATAAAATTTGAGAATTTTATAATCTCCTAAAATTTTTCAATGGTCATTATAAAAAATATATATTTTATAGACAAAATTTGGGAGATGGTACACTTCTAAAACTAAGTTGGACTACAAAGGAGGTTCACTTTAATATAGTGTGCTTAAAAATCGTTTCCGTAGTTTTAAACAGGTTTTAATCAGCCAAATGGATCCAAAAATAGTCCCTTTTTGAGGTGAATTTTTTGTTACGAATTTTGGAAAATAGTAACTTATCTTTTTTGGTGAACTATTTAAAAAATTGTTCTCGTAATTTTTTGCCAAATATCAACGCAATTAGCAATGTATACTGCAACATGATCGGAAACTACGTGTCTCGTACTAGTTTACTGGTTTGTTCTCTCAAAAATGGCGTAGTCCTTACACATACTCATGCATTACGATTTTCATACGCTCTGCGCTGATACACCAGTCCTGTTCAGTCAAGTTGTTTACCAGTACGACAAAAAAGGGTCGAATACATACATGTTATATTTTGCTTTCACCTCAAAATAGGAGATAGCGGAATCGATCATATAAAATAGAAAGATAAAAGCACTAAATTGATAAAATGGTCAAAAAAGCAGAACCCATTTTATCTAGTGTACAATACTGAACAAACTTAAAAAATTGTTGGACTCAGCATTGAGCTGATAATAGTAACTTAAATATTTATTAAGTTACGTGATCTCAGGATGGTACCAATTACCATGACGAAAAGATAAACTATTTAGCGGTAGCCTTATCTTTACAACCTTTCCAAGTTTTATCGAATGTAAGCAGCTCCTTAGATTTACCAAACAGTTCTAAATAATGTTTAATCAGTTGGTTTCTGAAGCGAGGATAGGAGGTTTGGTCTTTTAGTTTGTCAGGAAATAAATTATACCAATTGCAAGCTTTAACAAGGAAAAGTTTGTCTTTGTATATGCTTATCATGGTTAAATTGAAATAAACTTCCTTAGTACGTGCTTTGATTTTGCAGTATTCGTAATTTGAAAAGTATGTTGGATCAAAACGTGGTAATTTAATATTTATTTATTTGTAAAAGTATATTATATTAGAGTTTGGTATCCTACTCTGGGACGTAAAGGAAATATTTTATAACTTTTTTTCAGCAAGAAAGAACTTTCATTTTTTCCTTTGAAAAAAGCTGTTTTCACAGCTCAATTAATTTGTCTGTGTGAAGTGTTTAGAAAAGTGTCTCGAATGGCAACTTATAGTGGTAGTGAATAGTTAAGCTGATTGAGAACTAGACTTTTTTTTGTAATTGGCAGTGAAATCCTGTGTGTAATTGGCAGTGGGCTTTTTAGTTGAGACAGTGTTCTTATTGCTATTGCCCTTTAGAACGTTATCTTCTAGCTCCCTTTCCAGTATATTTTCAATTATGACACCTAAATATTTAACGTGATTTGTTTCTTTGATTTTAGTGTCTGTTATTTCTATGGTTTGTATTTCTTGACTTGCTTTCATTCGAGGTTTTACAAAAATCACAAACTCTGTTTTGTCTTCGTTTAAAGCGAACTTTTGAAGAACTTTAGATCTATTTGAGTCTATTTTGGTTGACTTCTGTTTGTTTTCGCAAAGTTTAAGCTCAAATTTGAGCATTAAATCAACGTATCATCTGCGTTCTGTATCGTTTAGCAGTTGTTGACTTACTTCTTGCTTGATTTCGATCATATCGGGGAAGCAACTTTTTATATGGACTTTTTTCCTCTGTGTCAAGAAGCTGTGGAGTATGTTCAAGGCTTTTGCTTCGAAGCTCAATTTTTCTAGTTTTCTTAGTAGTGTCATGTGAACTTGGATCGAATGCTTTTGGCAGATCAAGGAAAGTTCTTGTCGGTATTGGTTTGTTTCGTCCGTGAATTTTAAAAGCGCTTTCAAGTAGTTTTGACAAGGGACCAAACAATTAAGTTTGTAACCGTATCTCTATAATTTTATTTTCTTCGATATGAAGTTTTCTGGTTCTCCGTTTTTCCTAGGTTTGTTTTCGCAAAGCTTAAGTTCAATTTTGAGCTTTTAATCAACGTATCTTCTGCGTACTGTATCATTTTGCAGTTGTCTAGCGGTTTTTCCATATCCTGGCATAAATGTTGAAAAGGAGCAGTCCCAATACCGTGCATTACTCCTTGCTTGAATTCGATTATATCCGAGAAGCAACCGTTTATATGGACTGTCCGTGTTCTCTGTGTCAAGAAGCTGTGGAGTATGTTTAAGGCTTTTGTTTGAAGCTCAAATTTTCTAGTTTTTCTTTAGTAGTGTGTCATGTGAAATTGAATCAAATGTTTTTGACAGATCAAGGAAAGTTCTTGTTGATATCAGTTTGTAATTCGTCCGTAAAAGCGCTTTTAATTAGCCTTGACAAGCGAACAAACAATTAGGTTTGTAACCGTATCTCTTTAAATTTATTTTCTTCGATGTTAAGTTTTCTGGAAGCTTGAAATGAAGAAAAAATTTGACCCCCTTCCGCTGTTATTTGTACATGCTTTATGAAGTTTTTGAGCTGTCAAAATAGGCAACCAAATTCAGTTCTGCATGGCATACGGTTTTTATACTATTGTGAAAACGAGTTTTTACAACGTTTTTTTAGTAATTTTATTTCTAGAAGCTTGAAATAAAGAATAAAAAAATGCCCTATTATTTGTACATGCTTTATGAATTTTTTGCATTAGCCAAAGTTTAATTGAAGAGTTTTTGAATTGTCAGAATAGGCAAATGAGTTCAATTCTGCATCGCATACAGGATCTATACTTTTGTTATAACGAATTTTAATAAAACGTTTTTTTAGGTAATCGGAAATTCAAGTGTATTCTCTGTCGTTTGCTCATGACGACACCACTCGATTGGCAGCTAACTTGCCTTTTCGGTGTTCTTCCCAGATGGGATTTTTTATTTTGTTTTGAGTTATGTAAATAATTATCGAGTCTGTTCCCTTTTGGAAAACGAATTTATTATTATTATAAGTTGCCAAATTCAATTGCAACGCGAAACATCCTTTGGATATTCGAATCCGATTCAAAATATGAAAACTATCTTAAACACATTATTTTTTTCAGTTCTCAACAGATCGGCCTTAGATAATGCTGATTGGGTTTTGTAATTTTATCTGTATACATGTTGATAGTCGTTTGTAGTAAGTGGGCAAATCTCACCTTTTGTTTTTCAGGAATTCATTGTGACAACTTAGAATGGGACAGCACCTCTCCCTTGGTTTCAATCAGCCTGGCTCATTCTGCTATATTTTTATTGGGCGACGCAGACAGAACTCGTGAACCAATCAGACTGTTGCTCAATTCAGGAGATGTCGTCATTATGACTGACAGTTGTCGGCAAAGATTTCACGCCGTACCAAAAATCTTTACAACTGACAAGATGGACAAAATTGATTTTGAACGTTCAAAAGAAGATTTTCTTCGTAACTTGAATGAAACTTTATGTACATGCGGCGAAGAAACGCAAACGAGCTGTAAAGCTGTGACTAAAAGTTTGATTTTTGATCGAGTTGACCATTTTTCGACTGAAGATGTCATAAAAGCAGTGGAATATATTAGAACTCGTAGAATAAACTTAAATGTGAGACAGTTGAAAAAATTAACTGATGATGTTCCTTTGAATTGTGATGAAATTGATCCACGTTTAAATTCTGTTGATGGGAGTAGTCCTTGAATTGTGTAAATGAAACTGTTAATTTACTTTTTATAATGCTTTTCAATGTGCCAATGAGATGGAGACACTCATTATTTAGGCCGTGTCGATTTATTGTTTTCGTTTTTCTTTCCAAAAAAATGTCTTAAAAATTGTTCAATTTCAGTTACTTTAAAGAGTTACTTATTAAGAGTAATGAACGTGTGAAGACTCTTATGTAGGTCTTGCTGATTTTTTTAGAAAAAAGTCGTAAAATATTGGGTATATATGCTCGTTTTGAATTCAATTGAAATTCATCTGTTGAAAGTGACGTAAATAGCACTCTCCAAATACGAACGTGGAAATGGCGCGAAAAAACGTGAACGATTTCTAGTTTCAAAAGTGGAATTTAATTTTTTAATTTCCAGAGGAATAAAAGCTGTACATTTTGATCCAGTTTTCTCAAATTAAGTTTTTTTTTCTCAAAAAATGTCAATGATAAATCGTTCCAGAAATTCAAAGAGGTTTAAGGCCATTATTTTTTTCTTCGAAATGCGAAGGCTGAGATCATTTCTTGCGTTCATTTTAATAAAATCAACTTTTTTTCGGATCAAATGGCTTCTGCTCAAAAATTGTCGGCTTTGTTTCCACTCCGTCAGTTTTGATCCGTTGCTAATTTAAAATGTTTGGCTGGGCATGTTTGCCTGGATTGAATTTTTTATCGTGACATACGAAAGTTTTAGTAGGCCTACTTTTTAAATTTTTTTTTTCTTATTTCCGTCTGCAGTTCAATATCTCGACCTAATAGATTCACTGAAGTCGGCACTAAGGAATAACTTGTCGTCGGTTTGCTGAAAATCTTCATCATTGTTTTGTTCTTCATCACGCACTGTGTTTTCAATAAAATTTAATGGGGGAGCATCGGTTTTCGAATAAGTATAAAATAACTGCCCACCATATGCGTAAAAGCGGTGTAGGATGTGGCGTGCTTCCAAAAAATCAAGTACAGGCAACAAGTTTGTAAAAAAACATAATTGGCCCCAAAATGGACCCCTGAGGTACTCCTATTTTTTGCAATAGTTCATCAGAAGTGCATCCATTAATAGAGACCCGAACTTGTCGATTAGAGAGATAACTTTCAAAGAGACTCAATACAGGTCCACGGACCCCAACCCTTGTTTCCAGTTTTTGAGCAATTTTTGAATACTAACTGTGTCTAAAGCTGCACTCAAATCCTGCGAATATAAAAACACGTTATGATTTGAATCAATTTTGGTCAATCGCTGTAGTGCCACCTTTTCCAAGCCTTTGGCAAACAATGGTATGCTTGTTATGAGTCTAAAGTTTGCTAGATTTTGTGGACTCAAAGTTTTGTCTTAAATAACTGGCGTGATCAGGGCTCTTTTTAGTGTGGCAGAAAATATACCTTGTGACAGACAAGATTTAAATAGAAAAGTTAAAAAATGAGCGATTGTAAAGCGAAATTTATTCAGAGTCCAACAAGGATTCTAATTAGTAGCACACGAAGAGTTCGAGAAAGACGTTATCACATTGACAACATCGCTGTAGTTAATCGGTTTGAAAGAAATAATATGAGGGTAGATTCATATTTTCGAATAAATAAATTGGACAAAGAATGAAACTCTCCAAAACGTTATCAACTTTCGCAACAAAAAACTTATTAAAATTATTCGCCAGTTCAAAACTTGAATCATGCGGTGGGAGCACTCTTTTATTCTCACTGAAAAAGAGATCAATTGTTGCATAGCAGGTACGGGTGCCGGACATCAAGCTGACGAGACTTCAAGCCGAAAATTTTCTCATTAAGTCATGAAATAAGATTAATTTGAAAACTTTTTTGAAGAATTTCTGAATTTCAAGATCTTTCTTTTCTCAAGAGCGTTTTCATAAAATTTAAGCCTCCAAAGGATGTTTCGGTAAGTTGAAAAGCAAAACATGGTTGAAGGCATTTTTCATGTTTATAATTTATGAATTTCAAAAACCGGCTGATGTTAGTAACAGATGACGATCAGAAGTGGTGCATTGTCATAAAAAAACTCTTATTATCGACTAAACTAGCCTAAGATTTTGAAAAGCAACAATTTACAGATGAAAAAACAATGATTTGAGGTGCTTGTAAAGTTTAATTTTCGGCCTGAAGTCCCTTCGACTTGAAGTCCCGTCGGCTTGTTGTCCTAGACCCAGCAGGTACGAGATCCTTGGACATTTAACGCATTTTGAAAGTAATCAGAGTTCTTACGTTCAAGAATCTCAAGATTTTCTATAAAGAAATTTAATCGATATCTGCTGTAGCTTTTCTGAAACGACGTTCCAGTAACCTTTTTTTTTTGTTCCAGTAAAAATTGAACTGTTAACTCGCTACAGTTCATGTCTTCAGATGTTACAGTCATCCGATTCTTTCCATTATTTGACCACTCTCTCTCTCTCTCTTCACATGTTGTGACTTCTTTTCTGATATCTGATAAACAGAAGAGAACGGCAAAATGATCAGAGAAAAGGTTTATCAACGTAGGAAAAACGAAACTTGGGGTTACCTAATATTAGGTCAAGCATGTTGCCTTAATATGTGTTGGTTCAATTACAAAATTTTCTAGACCAAATTGTTCCAGAAGAGACTGTAGAAGCCTTGATGCATTACGATCAGATCTAAGTGATAGAATAAAGTCACCTAGGATACGCATTCAGCAATGATTTTCACATTGAGAAGTTAACAAATTACTCAGTGCTCTTTTAATATTTGTACCAGGAATGCGATAAAAAAGTAGAATCAAAAGTTTTGGACAAGATTTCGCTTTAATATCCAATACTATCCACTCCCATGAAGAATGACTTTCCTCTAAGACGACATGGACTGCAAAAGACGATATGTAAATCAAAGCCAAGCCACCTCCTCGTGAAATTCTGTAATGGTTCCTTTTTCTATAATTTTTTGGACAAATCGATCATAGATTGAAGTCATTTTCCTTATTAACCCATGTTTCTGTTAGGACCAGTATATCTAGCTCAGATGATTCAATTTGGCTTCGTATCATTTCTGTTTTGTTGTTTATAGAATGTGCATTGAATAAGCAACCTTGGTGTAGTCATTCATCATCCATATCTCGAATGTAATCTTCATGTTTCTTTTCTGACGAAGGCAGTGTGTTAATCCAAGTCCTCGCTTCGTCATTGAGGAAATATCTCCTTACTATAACGAACCCTACTATAAAGAACGTTGGCCTTATTCTTAGTCTTGAGTCTCCGCCCGATATTATATGTTTAACTGAAACATGGCTAACAGACAATGATAAAAATTAAAGTTGGTTAATCAGTGGTTATAATCAATGCTGCACAAAAAGTAGGAAAACTCTTGGCGGGGGAGTCATGATACAAATCAGAAATACCTGTTGTATTTTGAATCAAATAAAAATGCCCTTTGATGAAGGTATAATTGCTACAATATCGAAAAATTATTTTAAGTTCTCAGTGGGTGTTGTAAATGCTGTTCGTAGAGAAGTTAGATAATTATTTAGATGAAAATAAATCTATGGATCAGCCAATGATCTTGTGTGGTGATTTTAATATAGATATTATCCAAAACAATCTGCTTACTAAGAATTACCTAAACGCGATCAGCTCAAATGGCTATGAGATTAGCAGTAATGAACCAACTCGAGTTACAGAAAATACGCAAACGTGTTTAGACCACTTTATATTTCAAAATATACCACTGCCTGTTTTGAATGTACTTATATATGAAACGATATCCGACCATTATCCCATATTATTTGAATGGAAATTAAAAAGGGAAAATTGTTACGACGAAATAACTTACCGGGATACCTCTTTTCTTAAAACACCTCTTACGGTGTCAAATTTTTTGCAAAATTTACATATAGTTTTGGATAATAATAAACAGTTTTTGTTTGAAATATAGGATGCCAATGTAGCTTTTGAGTTTTTTCAAGGATTGTTTGTAACAACTCTTGATGCCTTTGCTCCTCTGAAACGTAAGAAAAATATACAAAAAACGCTGCCAGTTTGGTTTACCAATAGGCTAGCTAATTTAAAAAAACAAACGTAATATAGCCCACAGAAAATGCAAAATCAACCCCGATAATGCTGATTATCTAGCAAAATTTAAGCTGTTAAGATCACAATTTGAAAAAGAAGTTAAGCAATCGAAAAAAGAATTTTACTGGAATAAATTTAAAAATTGTATCAGAGACCCAAGACAAACATATAAACTTTTGAATGATATCAGTGGCAAGAACATCAAATCAAACTAAATCCCACCCCTAAAATCATGCCTTGAAATGAAAGAAAAACCAACAGATGCTGACATTGCGAATAAATTTAATACTTTTTTCACAACTGTAGGGACTATGCTCAAAAATGAAGTTCCTAATGCTGACATACAGGTGGTTGCTAACAATCCCTTTTCTATATTTCTCTATCAAGTAAGCCCTGCAGAAAATGAGAAAGTTATTAACAGCTTTGATAATAAGTACTCAGCAGGTGATGATTACGTCAGTAATATAATTGTTAAGACGTCATCCGCGGTTGTGGCGCCCTATCTAGCATTTATCATTAACCTCTCTTTTTTGAAAGGAGTGTTTCCCAATGAACTATTTAAAGCAAAAGTTTTTCCCCCGCATAAGGAAGGTTCGAAAACAGATGAAAATAATTACCGTCCTATATCTCTTCTCATCTTATGGAGTAAAGTTTATGAACGAGCAATGTACAACCGCGTATACTCCTACTTTGAGAATTTTTCTCTTCTGTTTTCAAAACAATTTGGTTTTCGCAATAAGCATAGTACAATTGATGCTTTAGCAGATTTAACCGAAAAAATGAGGTTGGCAACATTGTCAGATTCAATTTATAGTTTCTTCTTAGATTTGAAGAAAGCTTTTGATACTATCGACCATGACATACTAATCTACAAGTTAGAATGTTACGGTATCCGTAGTAATTGCTTGAACTGGTTGGTATCATACTTACGAAATCGCATGCAGCGTGTTGAAGTTAATGGCGTTAGTTCTGCTTGGAACAC